CTCTCTGTCTCAAAAATAAAATAAAAACATTAAAAAAAAAAAAAAGAAAGACTATGCCACCAAAAAAAAAAAAAAACTTTATGATATTTCCTATTACTAGAATATTCCTTTCTTCTGTGGTCAGCAATCTGCCCTTTACTTTTTGTTCCATATAATATTCTGGTTTCTCTTCAAATCATATATCTTTCACTTTTTACTTTTTGTTCCATATGTAAACACCTGCTGAACACCTACTATGTAGGCAAACACTGGCACTGTAGGGACCACTTCCTAAAACACTTCCTTATTAATATAATTCCAAGTGCAAGGAAGTAGAGAATAGTGGTTAAAACCTCAAGACCTGGGGTCCAGAGTCCAGGATTCCCAGATCAAACTTGACTGAGCAGCGGAATTACCAGAGAGATCTTTATGGAAAATACAGTCTCTGGGCCCCAGCCCTGAAAACAGATTCAATTAATCTGGAAAACAGCAACCCTCCCCCCACCCCCGCCTTTCCAAAAGTCCAGATACTTCTGATGAAAAGGTTTAGAAAACACTGGCCTACCCTCGGGCATCAGTCTATAAAGTGAGAGGGTCATATCTGGGGTAGTAAGACCAAGATAATTTAACAAGGATATGGGAAGAATAAATTACAACTTCCATTCATATCTATTTTTACATTAAATATCAGGAAAGAGATTGAGTTTTACAAATAGTTTATACACTGGGGCACCTGGATGGCTCAGTCGGTTAAGCGTCTGACTCTTGGTTTCAGCTTAGGTCATAATCTCACAGTTCCATGAGTTTGAACCACGCATCTGGCTCTGCACTGACAGCGTGGAGCCTGCTTGGGATTCTTTCTCTCTCTCTCTCTCTCTCTCTCTCTCTCTCTCTCCCCTTCTTCCCCACTTGCATGCTCTCTCGGTCAAACTTATAAAAAATAAAACTTAAAAAAGAGATAGTTTATACATTGATCGACACTGGCATCCTCACTGTGTCTGTATGTTAGATTCTAAGCAAGATACCCAGATGGCTGGATTAAGGTTCCACACTCCGGCCTGTTGGTAGAAACTACTCACTCATTTATTCCATTTCCACTTCTTATGATATTATCCAATGTCAACTAAACTATTCTTTTTTCTTTTTAACGTTTATTTATCTTTGAGAGAGAGAGAGAGACAGAGACAGAGAGCATGAGTCGGGGAGGAACAGAGAAGAGACACAGAATCTTAAGCAGGCTCCAGGCTCCGAGCTGTCAGCACAGAGCCCAATGCGAGGATCAAACTCACGAACTGTGAGATCATGGCCTGAGCTGAAGTCAGAAGCTTAACTGAGCCACCCAGGCGCCCCTCAACTAAACTATTCTTTACAAGATGGACATATGTCTTAAAAATATTCCTGCAAAGAAGCAGAAGCTGGCAGATAACATTTAAAGGCAAAAATAATCTAGTGAGATCTCAAAAGAAAATCCTCACAAGTGTTTCAGTTATCCAGAAAACTGTTTGAAATACGGATCTGCAGCACCATTACTGAATCACCCCCTACAAGCATATTTTCCCATGTCCATCTGCTCTCACATAGTGTGTCTGCACTCAAAATGTTTTCTGATAGTGCCAAGTGGACATGCTTGGGGCACGCTGAATCAGGGAGGAAAGCAGTTATGGCTCCCCTCTTTTCCACCTCCTGCAAAGGCTGTGCCCCTTCCTGTTTCTGCTCAGCTCTTCATAGGCTCCCTGCCTCTGTGCCCTCCAGAGCACAATAGTAAGTGGCAGCATCTTCCACCTGCACCTGGGGGATGAGCAGCAGTGAGGAGAATCGCTCATTCGTCATGTTGTAGCGTCCCTGCTGAGAAGACCTGGAACCCCAAACCAGGAGTCTCGGAGCGTGTCCTGGGATGTGAAGGTACCAGAAGAAGGTGTAAGCATTGGATATAGAGTGATTGCAGGAGATTTCCACCACAGCGCCCTCCGGAGAAGCCATGCCAGGAGGCTGAAACACTTGGTCCTTGCTCTCTGCAACTGCAGGAAACAAATAAAGAAGGGTTGTGATTTTTGTGCGGCTATCAGGCTTGCTGATTGCCCCTGTGGCACAGTGAGTATTAACAAAGCTGGTTTTTCTGTTTTCTTTTTTAAGCGAACCCAAATTGGGGCACCTGGGTGGCTCAGTCGGTTAAGTGTCTGACTCTTGGTTTCAGCTCAGGTCATGATCTCACGGTTTCATGAGTTCAAGCTCCACATCGAGCTCTGCTCTGACAGCGTGGAGCCTGCTTTGGATTCTCTCCCACCCGCCCCCCCGCCCCACCCCTCCCACATCTGCATCTCTGTCGAAAATAAATAAAAACTTAAAAAAAAAAAAGTGAGCCCAAATTTAAAACAGTGGCATATGTTTTCCCAAGACCAGCTGGGGAAGGAGCCTACTCACGCTTCCAAGGAGAGCTGAGGAGGAGCCCCAGCCACACTGCCTCCAGAGCACTCTGCAAAACCATGGCCAGAGTGCAGCTGGTCTCACGCCCCAGCTGGAAGTGTGATCCTCGCCAGGAAGCTGATGTAAGGCTGCCTATTTTGCATTTTCTTCTTTGTGTCAATGACATCATCAGCTAGAATCTGCCAAGTGTAGAAGAGTGACTCCAGCTGTAAGGCTACCTAATAGCGACTTGAACGGAGCTCTTTTCTGAGACAGTGGTCTTATAGGGAAGGTATCCTTCTGGAGGTCACCATAGTTGGGCATATTCATTCTAGAACCTTGCTTTCCTTCTCTCAGGGTGTCAGAAGGACTCCCATAGTTGATGAAAGATGGCTTCATCATTCAAATTAAAGTGAAAGGGGTGCTTGGGCAGCTCAGTCAGTTAAGCATCCAAATTTTGATTTCGGCTCAGGTCATGATATCACCATTCATGGATTTGAGCCCTATGTTGGGCTCTGTGCTAAGGGAGCAGAGCCTGCTTGGGATTCTCAGTCTCTCTCTGCCCCTCCCCTGCTCATGGGCTCTCTCTGTCTTGCTCGCTCTCTCTCTTAAAATAAATAAACATTTAAAAAACAAAACACAAATTAAAGTCATGTATTCCCACAACAAGTATGCTGAACTTATCACACGGGGTACAATGACATGTGAGCATATTAAAATAATGATCAGGAGGGGTACCTGGGTGGCTCATCAGTTAAGCAGCTGACTTTGGCTCAGGTCATGATCTCACGGCTTGTGAGTTCGGGCCCCGCATCATGCTCTGTGCTGACAGCTCAGAGCCTGGAGCCTGCTTCAGATTCTGTGTCTCCCTCTCTCTCTCTGCCCCTCCCCCACTCTCTCTCTCTCTCTCTCTCTCAAAAAATAAATAAACATTAAAAAAATTTTTTTAATTTTGATCAGGAATTTTTAAAAATAATTTTAAATATTAAATTTAAATATTAAATTTAAAATTAAATTTAAAATTAAATATTAAATTTAAAATTAAATTTAAAATTAAATATTAAATTTTAAATATTTTTTAAATAATGATCAGGAAATCCTAGTAACTGTGATGGATGAGAGTTGAGTTTTTTAAGGCACAAAAATTCCTGTGCAAACATATTCATCAAAACATGATTTTGTGCATCCAAGGTTGTCTCTAAAAAAGTATGGAAAGAAATGCTCAGTTATACATTTCTGTAACCAAAAGAAATTGGATCAAGGAAACTCCAAAAGCTGCATTTCGAGATGACTCTTTCGGATGGTACCTATTCTCATTTTGTAGCATGAGACTGTGTCCTCTGTGATGAATGCAAGACATAATAGCTCTCCCCCTGGTTTTTATTGTTTTATACAGATTTTCTTGGAGTTTTATTTTTAAAAGAAGAGTAAACAAGGTTTGTGGCAATATGAGTTTATACAGTAAAGAGTTTTATGTGCACAACCACCACCTAGTGGATGATGTGGGAACTGATGAAACATCATTTCCCACCCTGCGGCCTGTCTTTGTAGCTTCTCACACCTTGAGGTGATTTCATGCCCTTTGTTTTGTTCAAATTCTCCATCTTTATTCAATTTCCATAAAGATATAAAGGTTGACCAGAGGAAATACCTACCTTCTGGGAAGCTTTCTGGTTATTAAAAGATGTTCTCCATTCAGGTGAGTGGTTATTTAACACATACTTCCATGGAATGAAATATGTCTCTAAAGATGGTTGCTTTATTCATTTCCTTTCTTCTTTTTTTTATAGTCTCCCTTTCAGGTCAGGGGAATCTGTTCCTTCCTTAATAGTATCTTATTTTTATACTGGGAGATTCTTTAATAATGATAAGATAATTATTTAGGCCCAACAGAGAAAATTTATTAATATTTTTGACCCCAAAAGGTTTCCAAATAAAACACAGAATTCCAAAATGACTGTAGAATTAAGATGGGAAAATAAAACATAAGTGCAAGGACTAATATAGCTACTGGGTTTAATTTGAGCTCTGAAATTCCTGACAAGTGAAACATAAAAGGAAACACAAAGGGAATACAATTCTACAAAGAAACGAATTAAGTGTTCAAGCAGCTTTTTCCTGAAGCCAAGTGACATATAGATATAGATAACTTAAAATTCTTTTTCGGTTACTGGTTACATACTCCCAATTCAAAGTTTCCCACAACTGCACAGTATTTTTGTGTGTGCTTCCTCCACATTTACTTATACAGTCCCTTAGTGGTGGACTCATAGGCTGCCTCCAAGTTCCACCAACATAGCAATGAACATATTTTGATATTTCCCCTTACGAAAGATGCAAGAATTTCTTTGGGGCATGTAACCAGCATGGATTGTGCAAACATATTATATACACACACTCAATTTCAGTAATTAATCATCCAAAGCAAGAGCACCCGGGTGGCTCAGTTGTTTAAGCATCCAACATTTGATTTTGGCTTGGGTCATGATCTCACCTTTCGTGGGTTTGGGCCCCATGTCAGGCTCTACACTGACAGTGTGGAGCCTGCTTGGGATTCTCTCTCTCCCTCTCTCTCTGCCTCTTGCCAACTTGCTCTCTCTCTCAAAATAAATAAAATAAACTATTGAAAAAAATCATTCAAAGCAGCGATAGCCATTTACACTTCCACCAGCAGTGCATGAGCATTCCAGTCTCTCTACATCCTCAACAGCATTTGGTATTTTTAAAATTATGAAAAAATATCATAAAACTGTCTAAATTTTGCCAATATGCTGAGTGTGGAGTCTAATTTAAAAAAATTTTTTTTCAACGTTTTTATTTATTTTTGGGACAGAGAGAGACAGAGCATGAACGGGGGAGGGGCAGAGAGAGAGGGAGACACAGAATCGGAAACAGGCTCCAGGCTCCGAGCCATCAGCCCAGAGCCTGACGCGGGGCTCGAACTCACGGACCGCGAGATCGTGACCTGGCTGAAGTCGGACGCTTAACCGACTGCGCCACCCAGGCGCCCCATGGAGTCTAATTTTAATTACCATCACCCTTTACTAGTGAAACTAAGCCATTGGTCTTTACCTTTCCAGTATTTCCTATTCAAATGATTTGCCCATTTTTAAATTAAGTCTGTAGTTTTTTCCCAGTAAATTATAGGAGTTCCTCATAGATGAGTACCTTGATGTGTTCAACATCCCAAATACTTTCTTCTAATATACCCCTAATCTATTAACTTTGTGTATGATGTCCTTTTTTTAATGGAAATCCTTAACCTTGATGAAGTCAAAGTTATCACTTTTTTTCACTTATGATTTGAGGTTTAGGGACTTTGACTTAGAAATCATTCTCCACCCTAAGGCCGCAAATGTATTTTCCCCCATTTTATTTTACCATCATACACACACACACACACACACACATACACACACACACACACACACACACATAGGTTATTTTATATTTTGGTTTTAATTCATCTGAAATTTTCATGTATATATAGTGTAAGAGGAAAGGCAACTTCATTTTTCTCCATAGAGCAAGTTTTCCCAACACTATCTACTAAATAATCCACCTTTCCCCCTCAGATTTGTGGTACCATCTTTATTAAATATTAAAGTTCTCTATTAACTTGGTTTCTTCCTGAGGTTTATATTCTGTTTCATTAATCTAGTTGTTTCTTCAGCAACACTACCATACTGTGTTTATTATCTTAGCTTTATCAAGCAATGTGCTTTGTCAAGATTCCCCTTTCATCAGTCAGAATTCTAGATACATTTCAGTGAGATCCGCTCTAGCCATTTGAAACAGAAAAAGAATATATTAAGAGATATTACATAGATCACAGGCGCTCCAGAAGAGGCAGAGTGTGAAATAGGGTTCAATGTTATACAGCCAGAAACAATGCTCACACACACCACAGGGAACACTCTAATCAAGCAATCAGATATCATCACTGCTCAACACCAATACTACACACTCACTCGACCAGCTACGAAGGCACTCAGTACTGAATATACGAAGCTCTTAGATTGCTACCCTGCTAGACACAGTCCCTGCTGCACACACCAAAGGATACATCTGCGCACCTAATACTAGAGGATGATAATGAACAGAGGTAGTAGTGGCCCATCCCTGTCTTGCTTGTGACATAAAGAGAATGCATTTAAATATCCCCATGAGAGAGACTTCTTTCGTAGTTTAGGATATGCCCAATTTTGAGACTGTTCCATGTGGATTGGAAAAGAGTGCACTTTCTGCACATCTCACAAAGTTCCCTTTGAATATACCTCTATCAGCTTCTACTTCTAAATGCCTATCTCTACAGGGAGCTCAAAATCAGTACAAGAAGACTAGCGGAGGACAGATGCTATGCTTTCCCCCTCCACTCTTCTCTTTACTGTAGCCCCTTTACTCAGTAAAATTTTCTCTTTCCTCTCAAAACTAAAAAAAAAAAAAAAAAAAAGTCTCATGTTTATGAATGGAAAAAGAGGAATTCAGGTGTGGAAAGGAAGGAAAAAGAAAGGAGGAATAGGGAGATAGTGTTGATTTCATGGATAGTAGCCAGCCAGAATGCCTTGGTATAGACTGAACAGATATTATGAAATGATCTATATATATCTCATCTAAGAATAACTTAAATATAATATTTATAACAAGATAAAATTATAGTCCTTTTGAATTCTTTCTAAGAGAATTTCAAGTGTTTAGGGTAGTGATTAAAGAAAACAAATAACACTAAGCAGGTTACAAAGAGGAAAGAATGTGCTTATTAGTTACAGAGAAGGGCACATGATGGTGGAGTGAGAGATAATAACTAAAGGAAAAAAGAGAAGGAAATAATGGTGAAGTCTTCAGATTGCAAAAGGCAGCATGCATGCAATGTGACCTTATCTGTGAATTCTTCAGATTCTTCAAATAGATTTTTATAAAGTCTATTAAAAATTAATTACTTATTGTAATTTTGTTTGGTAGAAAGTGCTGAAGAGACTGTTCTCTGTGACCCAGGTTGACTGAGTCACAACAAAACAGCATGAGTGAGGTTGGTGGAAATGGCAGGGTAAAGACCTCCAGAAAGTCACTCCTTAAACAATGAGAACATTGGTGAAAAAAAAAAATTGTCAAATTGAATTTTTTTGAACTCCGGAAGTAACCTAAGCCTGGCAACCATTGAAGGAGCATTTGTTAAAGAAAACTGGCTGAACTTTGCTAAGAACAGGGAAAATTTTAACAGCACTTTAACTTACCCTTCTCCCCAGCTCTGCAGTAGCCTTGAAAACC